TTCTTCTTTCTCACCACTTCTCTTTTCTTACCCAATCATCTCCTTCTCTCTTTTTATTCTTTGCAGAGCTGCAACTTGGCAAAAAAGCAGTTTCGCAAAACTGCTTCTTTTCATTTAGTCTGCTCACCGACCCATCGTCGGTAAGCAGACTAAACCAGCCGAGGGCTGGATATTGGCTGAAATCCTTTGATCCGAGCGTTTAGTCTGCTTACCGCCACTGGCGATAAGCAGACTAAATGAAAAGAGGCAGTTTCGGGGAAGCGCGCCTTTCTGAAAGCTGCACTTCCGCAATTGGATGAAAAGGCAAATTCTTTTAAGGCCCCAGGCCGCTTGATTACGCATTTGCCTCTTGGAGTTGCGACCCTGCTACCTGTTTACTAATTCGTAGAAAGCAAGCCAAACTACTTGCGACATAAGGCGTTACTACTGCGCTCTCAACATGCTGCTGCAGGAGATCCTATGAAAAAGAGACGTGCCGCAGGAGCATGGGTTGCAGCTCAGTCCTGCTGTTGGCGGGTGAAAAAGAAGGCTTCAGGTCACTTGGCGGAAACGGGAAAGGACGCAGCGCTTCCGCAATTGCTCTCCCTATTTTTGCATTGGTTGAAAGAACGCCAAGCGCTGGCCGGCGCCAACATGCTTCAACTTGATTTAGTGTGTATCAGCCGCGCCCGAAACCTTGCTGAACGCTGCTGGGCGGGATGTTCAAGTTGGGCTCGCGCAGCGGACGGCGCGCGGCGGATCCCGCGATTGAGCGTGCAGGTCCACAAGCCCCGGCGTAGGACCTTGCGCGCTGGGTCATGCAGAATTCTGATTGCAGCTGCGCGTGGCAGATTTCTGGTGGTTTCATTGCTTTCCAAACCACTTCTTCTAATTGCACGATTTTACGCGATATTGCGCGCTGATGCGCGCTGCTATGCGCAACCGCGCATCTCGCGATCTGCTTGGCGATGCCCTTGCACTTTGGGGGCCGAACTGTTGGCGTTACAACCAACTAAGACGGAGTGCACGGAGTGCATGCCCGAGCCCAGCGAGTGGGAGAAGCATGCAGGGCGGCGTGTTTGGGGCGGCGGGGGTAGGGCTTGGGGGTCTTTTAAGCCCAAAAACATTTAATTTTCTTGACGTAACCCCCCTCCTCAGCTTTATTTTTAAGGTAGGGGGGGTACGCACGCCTTTGGGCAATGATTTGGACGCATGCGTGCTTGCATGAGCGCCAGAGTCAGCACACAGGAAGCTAAAAGGCACTCTCCCAAGGCAGCGACGGGACAGGAACTTAGGTACGCGTTTCATCCCTCAGAAGCTATGTTCCGGCGGGGGTCTGAGCGTTTCATAAATCACCCGGCCTCCGATGACGCTCAACTTGGTCAGCTCCGGCTGATGGATCCTTTGCATGAATGGCACTCTGCAGGGCTGCTCGAAAAACCCTGATGGGCATAAGAGTAGACATCTGTCCCCTGGGAAATATGGAAACCAAGGAAGCCGGCCAACGTTCTACCCGCTTGGTTTGGTCATCTTTGAGAGGCTCGGAATGCTACAAGCACTTGGATGCCCAAGTCACAGCTGGTGCAAACACACTGCACCACTCAGCACCGCCAGACCTGAGACAACAATAGACAATAGATGGGAGGACTCGCCAGCGTGTTGACGACTCCAAGCAAGCTGTCAAGACATTTCCGCCTCTGCCCAATGGCGTCCAAGAGGCAGAGGATGGACAGTGTCATCATAGGGTCGAAGAGAAGATGCTGCAAGCGTTGGGAGCCGGACCTGCCATCATGTCTTGGTCAGGCGGATCTCATGGTCAGTCTTCGATCCCATGAAATCCAAGTCTCTAAATCCATGGGGGTATCACTTGTCAGTTTTTCTCTCATTGGAGGTTTGGATGGATTTGAACCCAGCAAACCAAATCCGTCAGACCTAGGCCTCGCGGCCTTGGACATGGAGAGGCCTGGCCCCACCCACCGCCTGTTTGCAAGCAATGGCCCTACCCAGCTGAGGTCCGTGACGTTGAAGCCATTCGATCCTGTTGCGCCAAGGCTAAGGCGACCCCCAAGGGGGCTTTTGGGCGGGTCCCTTTTGAGAGGTTTGACCACGGCGCGCACTATGCAACCGCTGAAATTGAACACGACATGTTATCTCTCCAAATTTATGAGCAAACCAAGAAAGCCACAGGTGGTCAGGCTTCTCTTTTACTAGGACAAGCTAGGAGTCACCTCATTCTCCGACGCCCATCGAGACATCAACCCACCTCCAGGTTCGGTCTGATTGAATCTTCCCATGTGTTTCGGGGCTGCCCAATGCTAGGATAAAAAGCCCTGTTCCAAATCAGCATGCTGCCTTCGCCCCAAACTGCATGCTCCATGCTGGCCGATTTCCGCTCTTGAGCGGCTTAGTTACCCCTGCTGCAGATTGAAACGGCCCTTCACAAAAGATCAGTACTAGAGCAATCTCCTTTTGGCCTCCGCTTTGGGTTGCATGTTGATTAGGGAAGTACGCTCCCTCTACTGAAAGTGCACTTGCCTCTGAGAAGGCTCGATTCGTCTTGGAAAAGGGGACAGTGCACTTTCATGTTTGTTTGATCCCTCAAAATAATGGTTCGGTAACATGGGGGCTAATTGAAAGGGAAGTCAAAAGGACACCAGGTGTCAAAATAAGGGGCCAACAATCATGGCTTTCTTTTCTGCCTTTTAGCCAACCTGAAAAGAGACCAACCAACTCTGGGCTGTCCTCAGATCCCCGCTATAAGTTTAACTTGTAGTTGGTTAAATGGAATCCCCACCAAACACCAAAAGCTAAGAAGCTAAGGAACCGGATGGCTGGGAATCACCAAGAACTCACAGCTCCTGCGCCGTCGTCGGACGTGTCCGGACAGTCGGATGCGGAGATGGTCCGCCTCTCGCGCGCCAGCTGACAGAAAGTGCCTCGGCGAAGTCTCCATGGGTTTCAAAGGGGTGGGCGTGTATGTTTTCCCGGGTGCCGTGCTTGGGCCTTTGAAGGGAAACCACGAAAGGACACCGTTGCCATTTTGCCTTCGATGGTTTTTAAGACAAAGCCTGTGTCCCTTCAAACTCCAAGGATAGCATCTCAACAAAGCACGCCGATTGCGCTTGTAGGTAAAACGTTCTTGTATCCCAATTTTGGGGTCGAGTGGGTTCATAGTCCTGGTAAACGTCATGATTGCAGACAATAACTTCCACACACACCCACGCCCACACCCACACCCACACCCACACCCACATCCACACCCACATCCACACCTACACCCACCCACCCACCCACCTACCCACCCAGACAGACACACACACACAGACACACACACACACACAGACTCACACAGACTCACACAGACAGACACAGACAGACACAGACAGACACAGACAGACACAGACACACAGACACACAGACACACAGACACACAGACACACAGACACACAGACACACAGACACGCAGACACACAGGCACACAGGCACACAGGCACACAGGCACACAGGCACACAGGCACACAGGCACACAGGCACACAGGCACACAGGCACACAGGCACACAGGCACACAGGCACACAGGCACACAGGCACACAGGCACACAGGCACACAGGCACACAGGCACACAGGCACACAGCACAGAGGCACAGAGGCACAGAGGCACAGAGGCACAGAGGCACACAGGCACAAAGGCACACAGGCACACAGGCACACAGGCACACAGGCACAAAGGCACACAGGCACACAGGCACACAGGCAGACACACAGACACACAGACACGCAGACACACAGACGCGCAGACACACAGACACACAGACACACAGACACACAGACACACAGACACACAGACACACAGACACGCAGACACGCAGACACGCAGACACGCAGACACGCAGACACACAGACACGCAGACACACAGACACACAGACACGCAGACACGCAGACATACAGACACACAGACACACAGACACGCAGACACGCAGACACGCAGACACACAGACACACAGACACACAGACACGCAGACACGCAGACACGCAGACACGCAGACACGCAGACACACAGACACACAGACACACAGACTCACACAGACTCACACAGACACACAGACAAGACACACAGACACACAGACACACAGACACACAGACACACAGACACACAGACACACAGACACACAGACACAGACACACAGACACACAGACACACAGACACACAGACACGCAGACACGCAGACACGCAAACACGCAGACACGCAGACACGCAGACACGCAGACAGGCAGACACGCAGACACGGCAGACACGCACAGACGCGCGTTTGTCTCAAAATAAGTGGCCTTCCTTTTAGTTTTCCTCAACCAGCCGCGGGCGCCGAAGAAGCTTCCGTGCTCGACAAAGGAGCGGGGCTGAAAAAGGGACCTGGTGTCAAAAGGTCGGGTTCGGAGCCTCCCGTAAGGAACAGCCAACAATACTGTGGATGGTTGCGAAATCCGCGTCTTGCACCACCGTCCAGAAACCCAAGGGAATGATTCCCCAACGCAAATACCGCAACAAACGCTACTGGTGCCACATTCCAATGCTTTCATTCACCGTGGTGCCATTTCTGGGCATTTCGCGTCACCATCCACATGGCCGTCCACCCCCGAGTCCCCATTCCCCTGCTGATGGCCCAGCGGCTGTCGTCCATGCAGCTCATGCCTTCGCCGATGTGGATCGGTTCCTCAGCGTGGCACAAAGATCCCCGGATTTTCCCAAAGGCGCCAAAGTACCTCCGAAGGCACCTGGGACACTCGTCTGACCACCCGAGAAAGCTGTGAGGATTGCACCAAGAATGTGCGTAGCCTGTCTAAGACTACATTGACTACCCCCAAACCACTACCCCCAGAAGCCAATGGATATATACAGAGTATATAAAGGCTAGGAAAGGGTTATATAAGGGTTATACGAGGCGCCTCAATTTGTGCATGTTTGCCTGCTGCAGAAACCAGGTAATTCTGGAGCTGCGGCATGTGTTTCATCCGGGTTCGCTGCTATCAGTTTGACGTTGAAACTTGTGAACATCAACGCTTGGTTTGAGCCGGTATCTTTGTTCAAGGTGAACATCAAAGCTTTGCTTTCTTGGCAGCCAGTTTGGTTTGCTGCTTTGATCATGTCGCGTTGGAGGGACCGCCGCATCCCCGGTTTTGGGGGTAGTGAGTCCCAAAACGCGCGGTTTGGGGGTAGTGGATTTGACTGGGCGATTTGGGGGTAGTCACACGTCACCTGGTATGCGCGTGAAAAAGATGAATCACACCACTACCCCCAGTTTGGGGGTAGTTGGGGGCGGTAGCGCGGGGACAGTGCGGGAGTTCCGGAGTCGGCGTGGGTGGCAACAGCCCCAAAATTGCTTTTTGAATACCGGGACAATAATTTCAAACATCAAGCAGTTTCAGCACAAAATGTGGGCTTTTGGGGGTAGTGAGTTTGGTCTTAGAGCCTGGATGCAAAGAAGAATATGGGAGACTATGGAAGCGGCTGAGTTTGGAATCAGAAAGCACTGGTCGTGCCTGCAAAAAGACTCGAGTTTGAGACCAAACCCGGTAGCCAAAAGTCCGAGTACCAGGTCCTGGTCCAACCACCGCTGATAAGACTTCTCTCTTGCCACAGGCCCTTGGCTGCAAGGTAGGCAGGGCTAGCCAAAACTTTCATCTGACATCAGCACCCGCATGGCTCTGCCACCAATGCAGCCAGACATCACACGGCCCTTATGTCACGGTCATCGTCGTCATGGAGAACAAAGACTCAATGCTAGCTGCAGTGTGAGTACCTTTCTGGTTGAGAACTGACAAATAAAAAGACAAATTGAATCTTCTAGGGGGTGATTCCCCATCCTTTTGCACCACCGTTCTTTTCAAAAACCGGCTGTTTCCCTGTTTTTTTTGGTTTCCTGAAAAGATCCGGATCCCTGGGTTAAGAATGGAAATGGAAGGTACCCCTCGAAATCTGCCGGGTTGTGCCCCATTCTCGGTGGTTGACTCTTGGAATCAGCGAGCCCCCGAAGTGTGCCTGGGCGCCTCGCCGTGTTGGGTGCACTGCGCAAAGCTTTGCACCGTGCAATGCGCGGAATGGAAACCGCTTGCCGGAAGATCACGAATTTATATTAAGGGGGAAGAGGGGGGGGTCCCGCCCCTTCCATTTATCAAATCTTCCCGGGAACATGGAACCATACCAGGAATTCCCGGTCACCCTCCTCCGACCACTTCCATTTTTTAAGGGGTGGGGATGCCAGAAAGGCTTTCATGTAAACACGAGCAACGCACTTGATCCGGAAATTCCAAGCAGCCAGCAAATTCTGAAGTCAGCGCCAGACGACACAAACACAGACATCAGGCACTACATGACTGAGCCATCACACCAAAATCTTTGCGGATTCTGGACAAACAAACAAATATCAAACGTTCAACGCAGGCCGCGAGCAAGGCAAGAACCAATAGGTTTGTCTCCGAGATGAAGCCTTCAAAATGGATGGTTTTGCCGGGTGTTCTCTCCTCAAACCATCCTAAGGATATCCTCGAACAAGACACATCCATTTGAGTTGTCCGACTTTGCTGCTCAGGCTCTCCTTTGGCAATGTCCGTCAGGACAACTGTGCAGAGCTGCTCCAAAGCAGATCTCTCGGAGTGCAAAATGTCGAAAATGGAAGACGTCATGTAATACCTCACGCATACAGAACGACTGGTTGTGATGTGTTGAAGCCGATTAGAATCGGGGGGATTGATTCTTTTTCAATTTGCTGGACCCAGAAAATTACCCAAAGCCTTCGGCTCCATGCGAGGTGGAGCACCTGGAAGGTTGACCCCAAAAAAAACAAGACTCTGTGTCTGGATTTAGCGCTTGTGGATTAGTTTCTGGTTCTTTGATTGGTTTTTGAAGGGATGTGGGAAGACTTTGGAGTCGTGCTTGAATGTCATCAGCTGTATTTGGCTTGAACTGCTCAAGCAGTTCAGCACGCAAGGCTGTGCCTTTTGCCTGGGGGAAGCAATGGATACCTCAAAACAAATTTGTGAGACAAACCAGTCAAGCCACCAAGCCCCAAGCCACCAAGCAGCCAAGCAGCCAAGCAGCCAAGCCATCAAGTAGCAAGCAAGCAAGCAAGCAAGCAAGCAAGCAAGCAAGCAAGCAAGCAAGCAAGCAAGCAAGCAAGCAAGCAAGCAAGCAAGCAAGCAAGCAAGCAAGCAAGCAAGCAAGCAAGCAAGCAAGCAAGCAAGCAAGCAAGCAAAGACCCTACTCCTTAGAGTCCAGCCTCTTTATTCACATCGTGTACACGTCTTGTGCCACCGGAATCTGGAGGAAAACAAGGAGGAGGAGGAGGAGGAGCAAAGTCGTATTTTTTCAGGGCTTTCCTTTGGCCATGAAGACAGCACGATGCGCATGTCTGCCATCCCAAAATGGGAGGAAAAATCCGGCAAACATGGGATGGTCACCAGGGAAACCACAAGAAAAGGATTCGACTTTCACCACATGGGATACCTCCCCAAAGCGTCTTGAAAGGCAATATGTCAGCTTGAGGAAACGGTGCGCGACCTCGCTAAAGCTGATTGGCTTAAGTGGTGCGGACACTGAAAGGCTCAAACCAGCCCCAAGCTCGGTTCACGTTGGAAGGGGAGCAAAAGATTAAACTTTAGCATTTAAGTGGGGATGTCAACCACTAAACCACAATAAGCAAAAATGTAAAATGTTTCGGTACCTCTTTGCTTGCTGGGGGGGGAAGGAAATAAAAAGGAACACCACTTTTGCTTTGGGGCTCAAAGAGCCTTGAGTTCTGGACAGGGGATGGCGCCTTGCCCCGCCCTCGGCTCTCCAGAGTCGTCGAGCTTCAGGGGCGACATAAAAACCAGCAGGGCAGAAAGTTCCTCGGTGAGGTCCCCGCGGATGACCAGCAACACGTGCACCGCCTTTCCTGTGGCCAAATCTCTGGCTCAGTGGGGGGAGGGAGAGAGAGAGAGAGAGAGAGAGAGCAGAGAGAGACTACACATATAATTACATGTATAACCTGGGGATTCCCTGAAGGAAGGCTACGAGGAAGGTTCAGTTCGGGGCTGTTATATGGGTGTTTTTGCATGGTGTCCCGATGGTTGTCTGAAATCCCCGGGTTGCTCCTTTGGGTTGCTGTTCCTTGCTTGCTGCTGCTCAAAACTGGGCTGCCAGATCCCTGCTAACTTTTACTGGTTTAGTGAAAACTACCACTGTAAAGCCTAAACCCCAAAAACCCAAGGGGATGGCTGGAGCCAAGGAAAAGTGGCTGAGTGATGCTGAAAGTTGCTTTTGGTGAGCCATCAAGGCACTCTACTTCAGAACTGCGGGTTGGAGTCAGGGATCCAGGAATCCAGACACTGGGCTTAAAGGCCGTTTGGCCAGAGAACAAAGACGTTAAATATGTTCATCAAGAGAAAGGTACGCAACCGGCCCACTCCGTTCCCAGCGCAGCCGCACTTTTACCGCCCTTGCGTCATCTCTGCTGCCGGCATCAGGGGGTCCTGTGACAGGAAACCTCTGGGGATCTCAATAAATTACTTCCATTTGCTCAAGTCCCCTAATAAAATCAAAATAGTATGTCCAATAGAGATAAATTCCCTGTAAAATCAACAGGGGAAATGGAAGATTAAGAACCGTTCGGTGGACATCATTCACGCAGGGAGTTTGTCCAAACATTCAGGAGGGTATTCCTCACAAGTCATAGCAGAGCCACGATCCACTTCGTGATGCCTTTCGGAACAAATACAGGTTGGCTCCGAACATTGAACTTGAATGGCAGCCCATCCAAAACCTGCAAACCCATACCCTTCACCTCTAGTCCGTCTCCAACCAGTGGTTGATGCCCCGCCTTTGTGGGCACTTGTGGCTTTTGGCCCGAGACGAGGATTGAACGAACGCTATCTTACCCAAACCCTGCCACTTCTCCTGCGCGGACCTGCGGTTCCTTCTCGCTGCCAGCTGCGCAACATGGGCCACAACGAACAGAACGGCCAGCAGAATCAGCGCCAGCGACAGACACACGAAGCGCCGGGCGATGGGGTGGATCTGCTGCAGACCCGCTTGCACTATAGCCCTTGGCCAAAAAAAAAGTTCGCAGCAACCCGGCTGTTGCAACAGTCCGACTGCGTGGGGGGCCAAAAAAACCATGTGCCCATGTGCTTTTTTGTTGTTTAAGTATTTTACACCAAGAACCCACCCGGTGGAGCCAACATAAACTTATGTCTTTAAAAAAAAAAAAAAAACCGTTGGATCAACAAATACGGAATGTCGCATATGGGCCAGGAGTCTCCACAGCGCCTGCCAGGACACCGGTGGTGCAGAAGAGCAGCGCGAGACGGGGTCCTCGGACCGCGCATCCATTCTCCGCGGCTTTGCAGACATCCGTGCCCACCTGCGTTTTGTTTCACCCCCCCCGCTTTTTTGTTGTTTTTTTTCCCATATTTTTGTTGATAAGCAAAAGTACGTCCGAAGTAGTCAGAACCTAAACTGGGTGAGTCCTCCGGCCACAAACACATGGACGCCGATGATTCCTTTTTTTTGGACCCCGGCTGCCCAGTGCATTTTGACGAGAGCTTCGAGTGCCTGAAAGGTCGAGACAGAAGTGCTGACCTCGAAGATGCACTGGAGCCCCAGTAGGAAACTGTAGAAAGAGACCTGGGTATGGGTCAAAATTAAACCACAAGGAATTGGACCGCTGGTTTTAGTCCTTGGTCGTTACCAGGGCAAGCCATGTTGGGGTTACCCTATTTTTGACCCACAGCCACCTGGCTGTGGCTGGATGCCAGGGCAAAGAGCACCGCTCCCATGAGCAGCAAGGAGCAGCTCGCCAGCGGCTCCGTGTAGCCTCGCAGCACAACGGAACGACGAGTGGCAGCCACCAGGGCGGCGGCGCCCAGGTAGGACACGCCCAGGACCTTGGTTGGACCCTGCCAAAAGTGTCTCACTTTTTGGGGGTTTGGTGGAAAACACGACTTGATTTCAAAAGTTAAAGTCAGATCCGTTGCCCAACAGTCAAGCGACGTAGCCGTTGTGGTTATCCTGGACGCTGGCCTTCAGCAGGTTCTGCCAGTAGGTGAGGGCCAAGCCATGCGTTGGGTTGGCGGCCAAAGCCCAAAGGCTCCACCAGGCCACGCAAGGCAGCTGCAGACTGCGCAGCACGTCCGTCAGAGAGGTGCAGAGGCTCACTTCCTCGACCCGGTCTGGAGAAAAGGTGAGCAAAGGCAGGGAGCACAGGAAGCCCAGGCCCGTGGCTATGGCAGAGATCCAGTAGAGAAGCCAGAGGGAGCCGCCGCCGTCTTTGAGCAGGTTCCCCAAAATCGCGGAGCCCGAGTTGGACAAAAGCAGCACCGCCTTGATGCCGTGGATGTGCTGCTGGGCGTCGCCCTTCGCCAGTTGGAAGATCACAGGGTTCACCGCGTAGCGCGAGGCAAAGGACGCCGCCACAGTGACCTGCGCGACCTCCAAACAGCGCGAAGTCTCCGTTCACGTTCGGGACCCGGTCATTCCATTTCCCATGCCCCAAACCCGCTTGCCAATAGTGGAACCATAACTTTCCTGGAGAACTCTTCCCAAACCCTCTTCCCATCATGGTTCGCTTCAGGACTACATCTTTGCCCCCTTGTCGCAAGCGCCTGCTGAGGCGCCAAGCCCTGGCCGCAGCAGGTGAGCAGCACCGTGGCGAAGCCGCTCAGAGCGCCCAGCGCCAACATGCCCTGCCCCCCCACTTTGGGCAGCTCCGACAGCAGCCCGGTGAGCAGCAGCAGGGGGAAGCGGCTGTAGACCCACAAAGGGAACATGTCTTGGTAGACCTCCGGCCAGCGGACGGGAGTGTATTGCTTTTTCATGTTACTTGTTGGGGCACCTGAGAAATTCGACTGTCGCAACCCGAATCCGGCCCTGGTGAACTTTTGATGAGTTGAACCCCCCCAACACCCCATGTTTTGCTTAATTAAACAAAAGAAACCAAACATAAAAATCAAAGAACATATAATAATAAAACCGCCTCATGTGTTTTCCTTTAAAAAAAAAGCCTCGTGGTTGGTGAAGCCCTTCTCGTCCACTAAGAAGTCCACCAGAAAGGGCTCGGATGGCTTAAATTGGGAAAAGAACACGACGCCATAGAGCCACAGCAGGCCGTTCCGCGCGCCCGGAACTCGGGACGCACCATGGGCCATCATAAGGTCCAGGCTGTGGGTGGCAAGAAACCCACAGGCTATCAAATGCACACGCGTAAACATGTTTTGTGTGGGTAGTTGTACGACATTTGACCTGTGCAAAACCTGCGTATAAATACAAGTATCATACATACCTGTAGATGTCTGTGTGCATGTCGAGTCGATGCTGTACTGTTTCCCGACACTGCAATCTGTGAACCTGCAGCTTGCTCAATGACACAACGGCATCTCTTCACTGCGATGCCCCCCTGCCTACTCATTTACAACAACCATCTGACCCACGGACGATGTGACTTCTTCCGCAGAGGGGCATGGGACAGTTGGGTTGCCGGGTTTTTGCCGGGAAACTCATCTCCGTCTCCTCCCAAAAGAGCAGAGGAATGATATGGTCAGTTGCTCACGCAAGTATGGCCTTCTGTTGCTTCTCATATGCCTCTCCTCGCCCTTCGGCCAAAAGCTGCGGCCCAGACATTGCTCCCAGCTGAGACTCGGGTACACTGGGCCAAGTATGCTTCAACAAGCTTGCGTGCAAAAGAACGGGAGGATCCCGAAAGGGGGTCCCCCAAAAGGATATTCCTGCATGGATATATGCTGGGTTTTTGCGGGTTCCATGATAACATGCATACCCGACAACATTCATTGTCACCGAAAACCGATATCGGACTACCCAAACCGCGGCACTGAACAACAAAATGAAAATAACACCCGTTGCTCACATGTCCAGCCAACGATCAAGCAATCCAGTGTACTGTAAGCAACGGGAATCTTGCTTGCCATTCATGCAACATGAAGCGTGGGTTTTGCAACATCCAAACACACATCAAATGGGAATAGAGAGGTAGACAAAAGCCTGCGTTATCTCAGCTGTTTAATTTGGAGCCACGCCCAAATGCACTCCACCAAACCTTCTTGGACTTCCCAACTCTCTGCGACTTCCGAATCCAACTCGGCATCTCCACGGCTCCACGCGCCTACCGTGAGCACCAGGCCCATCCAGAACCAAAGCAGCAAAGGGTCGAAGTAGGAGGGCGCGTGCCTGAAACCAAAACCACGGAAAGTCAAGGATCGATTTGAAGCCTCCCATCACCCCTCATTTTGTGGGGTCCCAAATCCCGGAAAACGAGACAATTTATTGGATGCGTGCTTCCATTGACCCAAGGGGCTGGAACTTCAGCACGATGCCATGCCGCAAAGATGCCTTGGCTGGACAGCGGGCGAACACAAACAATGGCGAAAGCCGTGTAGAACTTCGTAATTACGTCAACAGTAGTGAATTGTCATGTTAGCTCTGTCAGCAAACCGTTTTGTCCGTTTTGGATCATTGGCGGCTATGGGCTGGCCAGCGAACAGTTCAAACATGGCTCAGGAAAGTAGCGCCACTTGCCGGTTCAACAGGGGCTCCAGCGGATAGTGACTGAATCAGCGATGCGTTGAACACTACATGCTAGCTTGAACACTACATTGAGCACTGCCTGCAACAATGGCAAAATTGTGAAGGAACTTGAAACTTGTTTGACTTGTTTGTTGCGAAGCAAGCGCAAAGCTTAAATGCTGTTTTTTTTGGTCTTGGAACAAGTGTTCCATGTATAATATTCAATGTGGTTGGTGTTCAAAGGTATGGTCAATAAATGCACATTTTAGCGTTCGATGTGGCGCTTACTGTCGCGCTCAGCGCAAACGCCTTGCGCTAAAGGGTTGCTCAAAAGTTTAGTCGACTGACGGACAAAATCCTGCAGCGCCTCCCCCAATCACTTGGACCTTTTCAATGTTGTTGGCGTTCACGAAAGGTGGTGCAGGATTTCGGTCATTCCAAAATGTTTACAACCAAGGACCCTTAAACTTCCAGTGTTAAATGGGGAGCGCGAGGGTTTGTGTAAGCAATGGCGAAAGCAGTGCAGGACTTCGTCCGTCAACAGGACCACCTACTGTGGCTGCACAGGGTTTTGGTCGCTGCTCCAATGCTGCTGTGCACGCAAAGACTTCTCACATGAAAAAGACAAATTGCGATACAAACATGACTTGAGGGGACCTTTGTGGACAAGCCCGCGCACATTCCTTGTGGGTGGCGTTCTGCAGAGGGCATGTCTGCGTCGCACAGGTGCATGATGTACTGCATGTAAGCATTTCCGTGCCGTCAACGGTTGGGACTTGGCCTATCCAGCAGGTCTAGCAGAGTCTAGCAACGCAATACCCTTGTGGATCAGCTTAATAGAAACGGCAAAGAGCCCAAAGATTCACCCCAAAACTTGCAACGCAAGGCGCGTGATAGAGCTGGCATCGTGCTGTGGCCAAGCAAATCCGCAGCACTGCCTGGGCACGTGGAATCTCAAGGGGGGAAGAGTTCCTGGCCATAGAACCTGCGAGTCTGCGCACATTCACTCTCTCTCTCTCTCTCTCTCTCTCTCTTTCTCTCTCCGAACGCACCAATCCCCGCAAGTTCTCAAGTCATTCAACTTACGCCATGGGCAGTGGATTTGTGCTCCCAGGCTCCGTCTCAAAGCGCCACTGTGCCACGCCAGGGGAGCGCACAACTTCCGCGCTGTGCACCATGGTCGACGCTCCGTATGTGGGCCACGGTCATGGCGTGCTGTCTGTTGTGAAATATTGATAGCCATCTTAGAACCAACGGTCAATGAGTTTTGGGCGTGTCCAACCACGTGTTGATTGGCGGCTCCGTGGGTTGTGACAAGATCGCAAGGTGCCCTCAGCACAAGTGTCCTTTGACCATTGCACATGTCAACATGGTTTTGCCTTGGCAAATGCGCCCCTATCAAAGCCTTTTGCCGAGCGACCACACTCCCGAAGAGCAGCGGGAAAAGCAGAACCACGATGTAGCCTCTGCATTTTTGCCGGGGATCTCATCCATCAGAGGGTCCAATTACCCTTGAACAAAGCTTCTCAGAAGGCACTTGGACTTTGTACGGAAAAAAGAGTTAACCAGCGGCAAGAACCGCAAGACCTGGGTTGAACCCCGACGTGGGGCCCAAGCCGAGCTGTATGGGATCTGGGTACTTCTGGAAGAAGCGCTCCGCCTCAGCCACCTCGGATGGCCGAATACAAGAAGAACCACCACCCTGCCATGTCATCATTTTGACTCTGTTGCTGCGAGTGATTCATCAAAGTCAGAAAATGGTTTTGGTTCTCTCCCTTTAATCCATCACTGATTCCCTCTTTAACCCACTGAACGGCGTTGTTTTTAACATTCGATTCCCGACGCCATGGCGCAAAGAGGGCACAGCCCAACACGAAGAAAAGCACATCGATGGCCCCCTGCAGCAGGATGTCGCTGGAGGAGGGCAGTTTCAGAAAGGGGCTGGCCTCTCCGGTAGCGTGGAGCTCGCCCACGTTGGACGAGCATCGGGGGGGGGATGCGGAACCCTTGTCGCGGTCACTTTGGCAAGAGAAAAGCCACCCATTTTGGAACGGACTGGAGGAACCTTAGGACTGTCACACGGTCGCAATCCTTCCATTCACAGAAGGCCGATTCAACCATGGTCCCTTGTGAATGAGTGCGGGCAACTCGCTAGTCGGCCCCACCACATTCGCCCACCTAGATTCAGATTCAACCAAATGTGGTTGACACCAACCCTTTACGGCCTTACCTTCTGCCCGGGAAATCTCCAAACTCCCGCCCGTTTTCCCGTTTTTGGAGGTTTTCTAGAAAGATCCGGATCCCTTGGAAATGGACATGGAAGCTACCCCTAGAAACTTGCGCCGCGCATTCCACGGGCTTCCGGAAGCCCAGGCATTCCCGCGCCTTCGTGGCCTCCAGAAGGCCCCAGTGATGGCCCTGGTCATGCAGCAGCAGGCCGAACCAAATCACCTCACGTCACGCGCCGGGACCGGGACCCGACGGGTCCCATGACTCTCACTGCGGCCGAAAAGTCGGGCAGGCAAAATCCAAGTTGGAATTGGAAGGGGCGATTGCTCTCGATCACGGTGTAGGGCCAAGAACCAATGTGTGTTATCCCGTGTTATCCGACTCTGTTTCTCGACCAATCGGGGCAGGTACAGAAACAACTTCAGCATTGTGCGTCTGCATTGCGAAGCGTGCTGAGGTTCCGTGCAATCACCAGCAAGCAGGATAAGGCCCCAAGCAGCAGCATCTCGAACACAAACCTGAGGTAGTATCTGTGCTAGTGGCAACTGCAATGTTTGCAGTGTCTGGACATCTTGGCAGTATGGCAACTGGTGACTGGGCGCATGATCTGTGAACCTCTGCACCTTGACCGACCGGGTCCCCAAAGGTATTGCCCATGTCACGCAAAAGAACAACGACTGCAAGGGCGCCAGTACTAGGTTCTTCTGTAACGTGGGGTCGCTAGGCTGGCCGACGCTAGAAAGGTTGCTGGGAAATGAAGGCAGTACTCAGCCCAGACTTCGTGATCCCTTGGGAGACCGTCTGACCAAGCAGCAAGACTGTCGGGTCCCTTGGCTGCCAAAGCATTCACAAAATGCTCACATGAATCGAGTCTGAGCACAAAAGCAAGCTTGGAAAATACCATGAGCTTGCCAAATGCAGTCTGAGTATCAAATTCTGTACAGCGTGGACTGTCTTTTTGCTGATGAACAAGCCCAGCACATCACTAATTCGCAAGCCGTGCTCTCCTTAGTACAGCGCTGGGATACAAAGAGGCAAACAAATGCCAGCACTCTGGGCTTGCCTTTAGCTATGGGGCTTTCGGCACAGCCTCCGAAAAATGTCCATGTTGGATTCGTCCTTCTTGTTTTTGTGATGGCTTCAAACTGAAGCCGAAGGGAAACTGGGTACATGTATGATCTTCCCCTATTTGGGGGCAGAATCTGACCTCTGCGGTGCTTTTTTGCTTGAGCCCAGGCGCTGATATTGATGGATGCCAAGCATTGGACGCCCGAGCTTGGGCAAACATACAACTGGGAGAAGCCTGAGGCATCGCCAACTGGCACGGTTTCCAACCCATGCGTTGCATAGCCACAGCTCTCCCCAGAAAAGCGACGCTGCCTGGGCTGCCTGTTGAGGCGGCCAGGAACTGACCTCAAACTGACCTGAACATGAAAAGAGCCAACTCTCAAACAAGGAATCACGGAATGCGTATGCTGGCAAAGGGAGTGTGGGGAAAGCTGAAGGGCCCCTCACAGTTAGCTGGGGATCGAGGACTTTGCAAGCACAGCGCCGGAATTAAGCAAAAGCATCATGGTAAGCTCGTAGCTCCCTCTTAAGCAAATTTGGATACCTCCAGCTCCGTAACACTAGACATGTGCTTCGATTCAGAAGACCACAGAAGACCTCCAAAGGTTACCCTTTTGAGCGAAATAAACGGGTGTCTCTTTTGCAGGGGGCCCTCAAAATGGTGTGGGTTTTCCCTGTGGTGTCCCTGGAAAACCACCAAAGAACAAAGCCACACCCAAACATCTCAGGCCAAGAACAGGCGCCCGCCTTGGACCTGCACGTGGATGGACACTGTGGAGCTGTTTCGTGGATCTTCGCTGTGGACCCACGGCACCACCGTGGCGTTCCCCACCTGAAGCGACATCGCTGTCGCGCCCATTTTTTTGGCAGGGATCGGTACTGGTATGGAATCCCAGCCAGGGGCGATGGCTTTTAGGAGGGAAACCAAGAGCAAGCCGTGGCCATTTTGGAGGTTGCGGAACCCAAAATTTTGAGACAAACTCACAAGACATGCGAGGGTATGGACTCCGTGGTGGGGAATACAACCATCTAAACCAGTGCCATCTACAGCCCAAGCGATCGAAAGGACACCTCTGGACGCGATCCCAATCGATCCGGTTCGATCCGCCTGGGGCCCTGTGCAGTCCTGGGCTTCCTTCAGAACCCAGTCCTGCCAAAGCAGCACATCCGGCAGCTCCTCTCCAGGCGGTTGGGTACTTTTCCGCTGGAAAGAACCAATCAAGTTCCCTTTCGGGGAAACACGCCCAAAGGCTCACCAGACTCAGAGCCCAGCAAAAAGCAGGGCTCAGCGAAAATGGTTCGAAAACCATTTTTTAGGGACAGATCCAAGGCGAAGTCTGGCAATCAGGCTGACCAACCAGGTTTAAAAAATGTTCATCGACTACGCGGTAAGCGGAAAGCAAGGATTACTCGATCAGCGTGCACTCCCGTCGCAGGTCCTTGGCACCCAACCGGAATCGGGTTCGTGAAACCTGCCGAAGCGTGGACTCTCGCGAAGGGCTTCAATGTAACCTTTGACCTACCCCATACTTTGGACGAAATCCGTTCGCACCACTGTGAAACCATGAAATTCCACTGTTTCTTGGTAATTAATTACTGGGGAATCATCAGTCCAGGGTTTCTGTGGTGCAGGATTTCGCACATCAACAGTAGGACAAGGACAAGTTCCTTCAAATGCGAAAGCTTCAGGCCCAGTTTGAAGCCAAGAATGGACGCTCTCATGGGGAACCTCCCCATAGCTAATCACATCTAGGGCATATGTCCCTTTTCAAGATCACCCCGCCAGAAGGAAAACTCAAATGACCAAACAAAGGAAATCTGTAACTCACCTCCTGAGTGAACTGGCCCAGCTTCTTATTTATCACTCAAATGGTCCAAACAATCAGTGAGACTAAGGACACACGCATTTCCTGACACCTCATCGATCATCCGCCTCATGGCGTGTGGCTTCAGGGCAATGTCTCTCGAGCTCACCTGGCGAGGCAAAACCCAACCCTTCCCTAAGAACGAGCAACTTGGATCTGTAGATGGTTGTATCCACAGAATTTTGGTTGCTGCTGACCCCCTGCGAAAAGTGTATCCTGTTGGGGGTTTAGTGGAAAACACCACTATTTCCCAAAAAGGTTAAAGTCTAAAGATCCAACCCAATAGCAGTCAAGGAATGTACCACTTCGGACGGATGAAACCATATTGCTTGGACACGCCACTACCAACTGGTGCTGGATTTAGTTCGGTAGCTACGTGCTTGAATCTCGCTTCTGCCTCTCCAGAGTCCTGACCGGATGCCTACAGGCCAGCGAACCAAGGTTTCTATCGTAGAGCCTTGTCCCAAGCCCCGGGTCTGGATACATCGCAGTCCGTGATCCGCCGAGTTCAGTGAACCTTGGGCCTGGAAAGAAAAATCGGAAGCCATGGCCATGTGCCATCGGAACTCCTTCGGCCTATGGCCATGGCATCAAGGATGGATGACCATCCCTGTTAACCTCAAGTAAGGGAACCTGTGCTTTGACCATGGCAGATATCTAGCAGGAAGTAAAGTGTCCCTGGCCTATGACATAGCCGAGAATGGCTCGTGCCGAAACGGTCAAATGTCGTGAAAGCATCGCCGAGCCTTGTCTCGTGCGGATGGCCTCTATGCAGTTGCCTGGCAATGGCAAGGGGTTGACATCTTTGGGTCCCCATGGACAATTCCACAAGAGACCCGGCAGCCAACGTAAAGCAGAAGCAACCCCCGACATTCTGATACTGTAGCTTTCCGTTTCGCGTGGCCCGCTTTGCCATTCTTTCGTTCGCGAGCCACAGACTCAAGAGCGACAAAGCAACATCCAGTCGCTCGAAAGGCTCTGTCACATGTGCCAATCTGCAGCCAGGACACATAGCGCAAGCGCCAGCAGAAAACGAAGTGCGAGCATTTTGCAATCGAAGGGAGGGTCACATCGTAGCCAAGCTCAGATATGGCTGGTGCAGCAAAAGGTGTACCGCAGACAAATGAAGCAACGCTTTGTTGCAGCATACAGGATAAGCAAAGACTCATGCAAGCTGTCTTCGTCTGGGCTGGAATTGTCATATCTGTGGCTCCTCATAACATTCCAGGCTTGGCAGTTGTAAAATGGCTCATGTGACCAATCTGAGCCAGGCTATGGAGAGCACGCGACATTCGAACATGCAAGGAATCGGAAGCAATCCGGCTGTGAGTCAAAGTTAAAGCACCCAGGGGACTGCAGGTTTTCGTCCTTGGCTCAGTTTACCAGGGTTGCATTTTGAGTACCCATGTTTGACCCACAGCCATTTGTACGAATTGGAGTTAAACTGATGGACCTTTTCAGCACGTTCGAGGAGGTTCGCCAAAGATGGGGTGACCCGTCGAATGGGTTCAAATGGGTTCCTTCCGGATGCTACACGTGCATGTTTCTCCTTTGCCCAGCCGGAACCCGATCATGACCTGACTCGGGTCCCCAGAAGAGATTCATTTTGAGTAGCAGCCGGTGTGTAGTCTCACCCAAAGCCACCCAATGGGTGCATCTTGAGTGTCCAGTGGCTTCCCAGGATAGACCACTGGTGACCTCCGGTCCCTGGGGCTGCTGGCGTAACTTTCCCACCATGACCACATAGATTCCCTTGAGGTGATGCCTGCCGGGTCCCGGTGGCCGGGTCGGAGTCCTCGTTCCCCAACAAAAAGAAAAACACCATCGCCCGGAAAAGTCGCTGGAGGGAAAGCTGGCCGGATTCTAAACAAAAAGAGGCCAAACAGGAACATCTATACGGACCAGGCTTCGCAACCTCCCGAGAGGTCGCAGCTTAAAGTCTCAATTTTCCATGTCCATCCGAAACCTCAGCGGCCAACTTCGACTCAGCCTGGTGATGTCTATACCGTACCGGAAGACTTGCAGCCTGAGCTCCGACTCAAAGGGCTCGGCAGGCACAAGGCTCATGACTTTTTCCTCTGGGACCCCGGCATGATGTTGCTGAGGCTACCTAACAGAGATCCACGCGGTTTGCAATTTCACACATGCGTTCGCTCGGCCGCTGTGTTTTCTGTGCTTCGACTCTTTAAACGAGGGACTTGTTGCTGTGGTCAATTTCTTTGCCCAAGGGCACCCTCGAAACAATGCTGATGTGCAGTCGGTCGCGATTCTGCCAGCCACTGCCGACCTTTCTCTCTTTCTGTTGAACTCCTAAAGCTTGAGCCACCGAAACGCGGACCGAACTGCGAGCATCGAAAACCCGTCACTCGCATCGCATGAGGGGAACACCTGGAGGATTCCAGTCCGCAAATTCTTGCGACTAAGAAAAACCCAGCTTCATGTCTAAGGGCTATGTGAACTTTCTCCCACGTCCGCAAGAGATTCAGGACTCGGACCTGTGGACAATGTAGCATTGAACACTCCCAATGAATTCCATGGCATCCACACCTGGCCCCCCCCCTGCACAAATTTTCTCGCGCGATGCGGCAGGGTCTAGGGCTTTGCTGGCACATCTCGTCATGGGCACGCCACCAATCCTGGCAAGTGGCATGTGACACATGAAATAGACAGAACAGCTACCCGATTTGGCTTCAAGGCCTTTTCAAGAGGGCCACCATCTTCCAAAACCCTCCTTTTTCTTTTAGCCAAGAAGCCACTCCTCAGCTGGGACACATTCGACCCGTGGATGAATTCACAGTCTCAACCCAAAAAGCAAAACCCGAAAGACGGCAACGGACTCCTCATACGAGAACTAAAAGAGAGAGAAGTAGGAACGCCTCCGGTCTGAACTCACCGCATTTAGCCCCAGTGATGCGGACGAAGGCCTGAAGCTCTTTGTAAGGGCATCCCTCTGCAAGGGGGCTTTAAACAACGGGAGCTTCTGCTACCATTCAGCAAGCAAGCGAACAAGTGCGTTAATATTCGTGAGCCCTGTGCAGAAAAGCTTGGGGGTGCAAACCTTTTCTGCAAGACTCGCCAAGACCAACTGCAGCTTCTGCCGGCCCCTATTGCTGGTTTCGTGCCCCCTTTGTAGAACTACTCCTTGCACAAACCTGCAACAATGATTAAACAGACTTGCCATCCCACAACTCAGGCTCTCAATGTCCTCGAAAGAAAACATATCAGGGGCTCCGACTTCATTGAAGTATCGAGTTCCGCCTGCAAAAACATGCGTTTCACCAGGTCGAAAGCAAGATAGGGTCACTTTAAACTGTCATGTAGAGCCCAAGCATTGTATAAAGAAAGAATGCCATGCTCTGCATGACCATATGTCGGTATTAGCTGTTTTATTCGGACACTAAACGACACACGGCCTGCTTCGAAAGCTAGAAGGTACTATTCGGAAACTACGATGATTTGATTCGGAAACGACTCCAGGGCTTTTGGGATGGTTTGAAGCGAAAACCAAAACGAGACCATCGGGGGTCCCCAACTTTGAGAAAGCTGTCAACAAGACGTTGCCTTGCAAATGGATCCTGGGCCCTTTGGTGCAAACCCTTCGATGTCAGCTCAGTCCGTTTGTGGGGAAGCCTCAAGGACGCGAAAGATAAGAGTTAAGGCCTGGTGTAGATCGAGGTGCGGGCTCAAAGTGCTGGCCCTGCGCGTAAAAAGTTGTCTTCGATGCAACAGTCTCGCGCGAAATTGGGTTCGCGCTGGTGCGTGCGCTCTCGTTGTGGCGCCGTGCGGTGCGCACTTTGTGAAGCAAAATGCATTTTTTGCTGGCAGGGACGTGGGTGCGCGCTGGTGCGCGTGCTCTCGTTGTGGCGCCGTGCGCATTTTTCGTTTTTCGCTAGCAGGGACGTGGGAACGCGCTGGTGCGCGGGAGGTTCGCGCTATCTCTTTTCAGGAAGCCTCGTGCCAAACGCGTTTTTTTGAGACCAAAGTGCGATTTTTGATGGCAGGGTCGCCACGCGTTGATATCTTCTTGTCGGGCCAGGCAACGACGCTTGGACAATCGGAGCTCTAAAACCATGGCAGTTGTCGCAACAAGTTGTCTTGCGTGCGACAGCTTCGCATGAAACGGATCTTTCTTCAAAACTGCTCTCTCGCTGTGGCGCCGCGCCAATCCTTGGATTTGTGTGTTGCCGCAGAATTCTATGGCCAGCGCAGCATTCTGTGAGACTGCCGCGCGTTTTTCGTGGTGGGCGCAATGTGTTTTGCGCTGGTGCAAAAGGATGCGTGGCAGGCGCAGCATTTTCGCAAACAGGGTCTGTGAATTTCGTGGCAGGCGCAGCGTTTCACTCATTTGCAAGCTTTGCAAGACGAAAGTGAACCCTCTGCGGAGATCGTGCGTGTCGAAGCGCTCTCGCTGCGGCGCCGTGCGAATTTGTTTTCAGCTCGGCGAACCCTCTGCGGAGATCGTGCGTGTCGAAGCGCTCTCGCTGTGGCGCCGCGCGAATGTCTTGAGCTCGGCGAACCCTCTGCGGAGATCGTGCGTGTCGAAGCGCTCTCGCTGTGGCGCCGCGCGAATGTGTCTTGAGCTCGGCGAACAATCAGCGGAGATTGTGCGTGTCGAAGCGCTCTCGCTGTGGCGCCGCGCGAATTTGGCTTGAGCTCGGCGAACCCTCTGCGGAGATCGTGCGTGTCGAAGCGCTCTCGCTGTGGCGCCGTGCAAGTGTGTCTTGACTCTCTGCGGAGATTGTGCGTGTCGAAGCGCTCTCGCTGTGGCGCCGCGCGAATGTGTCTTGAGCTCGGCGAACAATCAGCGGAGATTGTGCGTGTCGAAGCGCTCTCGCTGTGGCGCCGTGCAAATGTCTCTTGAGCTCGGCGACTCTCGCTGTGGCGCATCGCGAATGTGTCTCGAGCTCGGCGAACCCTCTGCGGAGATGTCGAAGCGCTCTCGCTGTGGCGCCGCGCGAATGTCGTGCCTTGCGCTCGGCGAACCCTCTGCGGAGATAAGAATTTAAGGGACCCAGAAAAGGCGGCCACATTGAGGATAAGGTATGAACCGAGATGTTCATACAACGCCCTGATGCATGAAATGCTTGAGCAAACCATAAGCTAAAACGAGCAGTCCTTCAGTCAAGTGCACTGGTGGACAAATGTCCAGGGGTGACGTCCCCATTCTTTCCAGCAATCCTGCTTCCAAGAAAAACACAAGCAAAAACTGGGGAAACAGCAAGGGCGATGGCTGAAAGGAATGGAAAAAACCAGAAGATGGCCATCCACATGAAACCGGCGCAGCAATATTTGGAAACCATACCATGTTCGCACCACTGTGAAACCATGGGAACCGTTGCTTCTCGGTATTTACAGGGGAATCATATCACTCTAGAGTTTCTTTGGTGGTGCGAAATGGAGTTTCTCTATGGCTGAAAGGAATACATAGACCATGGGAGACGGGGATGTCAGACCTACCTTGAGTCCACGTGAAACCGGTAAACCATGGAAACCTTTCCTTTCAAAACCTTAGAAACCGGTCCACATGAACCTTTCCTTTGGAAAGCCATAGGAAAGCCATATGAAACAAAAAGCCAACGGCTGAGATCTCGATCGACGCCTCATCCCCCGCCTCATCCCAGCCGCTGCTCGCCACGGCAGAGCGCTGCCAGGGCTTCCGCAGCAGACCCGGCCAATGGAGGATCTGGGCGAGGGGATCCCATGCTCCTCATCGGGTTTTAGACTTTTAGAAAAATAGATGGCCCTGGTAAATGGAAATAAACCCATCTAAGCCAGCGCCTTCTATTTTAACCCAAACTAAGCTAAAAAGAATTCCGATAGTTTCAGCGTGTCTTTTTTGAGGATACCCCTTTTAGACCCTGTGTGTCAAAATGTAGGCCATAGTCATGGCTCACACAACAGGAATCCTTGCAGTGGTTGCCCAGAGTCTCTACTAAAGTGTCCATGACCATCCCTCCATCCTCGCTGGTGTTGGGCTTATTGCCGCAACACTGTAGATTCAAGCTACATCGCTACGCGGCGAAGCCGGAGCTTAGATGAAGCAGGTGTACAGGAGTGTACAGGGATTCCCGCGAAAGCGGTGGCCGAGCGCAAAAAAGCGGAACAGGGGGGACCCGGAAGGCAACCCCCAAAAACCAACACCCGAACCGAAAAAACCATCAACGCCCGCCGCCCCGGAAAAAGGCACGCACCCAGGCCTCTCGAGGCGGCGATGCCGCAGTCTGACACCATTCGGCGTCGCAAAAATCTGGCCTAAGGATGGGAACCTCAGGTTTGGCTGGTGCAAAGTGTCCTGAAAGGGTGACTTGCCTGGCCGGCAAACCTTTAGCAGTCCAAAGTAGCTGCTTTGCTTGCAGCTCGCAAGCGATTGTCAAGGCTTTGTCAAAGCTGGATTTTTCAAGATGGTAAGGAACAATGGTGGATGGACCGGGCGAGCCTTTTTAAAGAAACATCTCAACCCTGGGACTATTTCGCGGCCAAGAGTTGCACTAAGAGTACGCAAAACTCTGAGGAGCGTGCAGGCCTGTCGGCGAATGCCCTGGTTTGAGCGTGTGCGCCAATGCCAAGTAGTACGATCCCGTATCGGCATCGTGCAACCGGTCTGGAGGTAGAAACGCAAGCAAAGAAGAACAAGGGGCGTGCCACTTCCATGCTGCGCCTGCTGATCATGCCGTTGCAAGTGTGCAATAAAGACGCAAAAGTGCCACAAGAAGTCTGCAGGGAAGATAGTTCGGAAAGCTGGGATGTTCCCACAATTAACAAAAGGTAGCTGCCCAATCGTGGCAGGTGGTCCTTGCTGTGGCATTGCGTCACGCCGGGAAGGTGCAACTTTTTGGGCAAAGATTGTTGCAACCTGGATGTGAAGGGCGGATAGCTGCTGCCAATCCTTCAGTGCTCGTTGGTCTGTTTTTATGCCTTGGACAGCTAAATCACGGGTGTGACTATCCCACAAGTCGTACGCTTCATTCGCTTCGGCATCTGCTAAAGCGTTGCCCCGGATCCGGAAAGCATCGGCTCCAGAAATGGCGGAGTGTGTGGACCGGTGAGCTTTTACCCATTGAATGCGGACCTCATTCGATGTTCGCGTGCCAAGGGCCGTGGCACCAAGTGTGAGGAGGTCTGCATTTGGACGAACCTTGAATTCTTCCTGCCAACCTTGGGCTAACAGGAGGTTGAAGAAGTCCGCTGCGTATTTGGAATCGGTGTAAATGTCGCAGTGATGGACACGCTGCAGCGTGCCTATGATGGCAAGTATCTCGCCTCGATCAACACTTTGCAGGATGCTGGAAACCGCGGACAATGAGAAGGTAAACCGCTCTCCAGGGCGCAGTACTGAGATCTAGCGTACCATGGTCGAGTAACTGAAGGTGCTCATCAAGATCAAGGTCACACGCGTCAAGAGATTCACCAAGAAGACTGACAGGCCCGTCAACTTCACGAACCTGGTCAGAGCAGCCCCAAGTCATGTTTGTCTCTATCATGGCTACGTAGCCATCTCCAGAACGCCTGGATGCGGTTCGTATGTGTGACAAACGCAGGGTGTGTCGTTTCGTCAACTACAACTGCAAGGCAGACGTCGGGCGAGGCCCCCGCATGGCCAAGACCTACAGCAGCTGCTGTGAGGCTTTCAATCCTTTTTAGCCCCAGTCGGGCCTTTCAGGTGGCTTTAGGCAAAGCTGCACACCTGACAAGTCCAACTTTGCGGGCAAACGGAGCGGGGAGTTTTTTGGATCCTCTCAAGAGCAGCAGTGGCCTGCTGAATTCGCTGCTTGACCGTCCGATTGCGGGTGGCATAGGTGAAGCTGAAGTGACCTCCTAGCTCCCGGACGTCAAGAACGTGCGTAGGTTTACCAGGTCTGAGTGACGTGTCGGTGGTCCAGATTACACATTTAGCCGCATTGATGTGCAAGTCCAATGCGGTGAGCAACTGAAGTTGTCAGCAAAGCTATCAATGGTCAGCGAAGGCGATAGAAGGCTGGTCACCTGATGCTAAACCGTCCCTACTGCAAGCATCGCAACTGGGGACAATGGACACTTTTCTGGGAAACCCGTACAAGATTTGACGGCCCGACTAAACGTGCCAGCGACTTTGGCCCGCCTTTCTAATTTCGCAAGGTTCTGGCCCCACGATGTCGAAAGCCATGGTGCAAGGCCAAGCCGGTTGAGCACGGCGAACGCGCAGGGCGTGGGATGTAATTGAAAGCCTTGGTTATGTTGAGGGACATGCCGAAAAGGGGTTCGGTGAGCCCTTGTTGGGCAGCTTCAATATCGAGCCCCAGTTTGTACAGGAAATCTTCATGGTGACGCTTCGAGAGGAATCCCCGCATGCTGGCTGGCATTACCTGGACGAGCCATGACTGTAGCGTAGCGAAGCAGCTCTGGAGCTGCGGATGTCAAGCTCTGTAAATGCAAGAAAGGACAGTGATGGGACGACAGTCTCCAGCACTTTGTGGGTTCAAGCACTTGGCGATCATGGCGACTGACGCATACCGATGCTGGGGTAAACCCTCACCTTCCTGTTCAGCCTGATTGAAGAGTTTGAGCATCGGAGCAACAACTCTCTCTGGCAGCATGCGAAGCCTGACCCCGCCATCCACAGAGACCTGGAGCAGTTTATGTGCCAAGGTGCCGGACTGCTTTTTTCCATTCAATCCATGTAATTGCATGGACCTGGTGCGAACGAAGGGCACAGTGGGGTATGGAAGCACAAGATCAGCGCAGTGTTCCATGCTGCAGGAGGAACTTGGCTATGCCGGTTCCAGATACTCTCCCATGGCTGGATAAGCAGTTCCGCTAGCGCGTTTGGTTCTGCAACCCAGTGGTCGATAGGGCTAGGTGGGATCCGTGGTGGCTTGACGGCTTGGAAGGAGAGCCGCCCTCCTTCATTCCAGTCCTTATTGAACTTTTCGGTGACAGGTTTGCGCTGCAGGTTAATTTCAGCATAAATTTCCTTTTTGCTAAGATCAAGAAATCTCTGCTTAAGGAGAGCCCGCTCAGGTGAGTCGAGGGGTCCGTGGAGCAGAGAGCTGTAATCCAAGCAGGGATCATGTTTCGATATCCATGTCGTGAAGCAAATCCCCTTGCCTGGCCAAGCGCGAACACGTTTGTCCAGGCGTATCCATTGGAGATGCTCCTCCAATGAAAGTACACGCGTTGATCGCGCATGCGCTAGGCGGTCCCAAGCGTGCAGTCGACGATGTTGGGCGACAAGCTTTTTGTGCCATGAAAAGTTTACAACTGCATCAATTTCTCCTAGTCTCTCAGGCGGCAGAGAAATAGGGGTAATTGGCTTAGGGTGCGTGGTGCTGCGCACAGCTTTTTTGGGGCGATCTGGTCGAGCCGCTCCAACCGCATCGCCGAGCCACTTTTCGGCCGCGGCACTCCAATGCTGAAACCGGGAGTCTAGCGAGGCCCCATTGTCTGGGCTGACCTCTGGGGTGAAATTCCAAGGGTAGTCCATATCAACTTGCGTGTCACACTGCACAAGACTGGGGCTACTTGGCCAAACCGTTGCAGGGATTGGTGCAGTCGGCCACACTCCACAGGCGCGTGCCCATGCGGGGCGTCCACAACGGTCCTGAGACAAAGGTGAGCGCTGAGTGATTTGCCCAGATTTGGTCAATCCTCGTCTGGCACTTGTATGTTTTCGGAGCTTCAGAGCCTTTACGGATGGCGAAGTGCTGTGCGCAATCTGTCCATCCAGCTCGTTGGAGTTTGCTGCCAATGGGTTCAGCCGACAAAGCCATGTTGAAATCACCCGCGAGAATCATGGGGCCATTGAAGAGGGACCAGCTTTCCCACAGGCTTTCAAGGAGACGATTGTTAATTTGTCTAGCTTGCGGATTGGTTTCCGTGGCTGCGAACCATAGAAAGTGACGACCCGAATTTGCAGCTGACTGCAGGACCTCTTCGAGGTTACAATGAAGCGAAGTGGGATTGGCAACGCGAATCCACCCAATATTACCGTTCACGCTATGCATGCACTTGTTGCGGGTCCTTTGGAGTACTGCCGCATGTGAAGAATGGCATGAAGTGCAAAGGACACTAATGTCAAGCGGTGCTCGACACTGGCACTGCTGGCCTACGAATGGTTCGGTCATGGTGATGGAAATGCAAAAAGGGGAATGTTGAGCAGGAGCCCGGCAAAAAGTGGCCTTATTAGCCATCTGGATGAAAACCCACAACTTAAGATCAACACAAGAGAAATCACTACCAGGATAAAGCTCCTGCCAGCTTTCCTCTGAAAGATGGCATGCTTTTTTCCGCGGATCAAGCTTGCAATTCAGATCCGGTTGCAAGTGTGGATGTGAACACATAAACCAAAAGACGGCAACTACAATGTGGACACGAGCCCGGACAATGCCAAACTCGTCCAGGTCGTGTTGCCACCGTCAGGTCTCGGATTTGGTAACCCGGACCTTGTGCACGTGCTCGGAGGATCCGGCACTGATTAGCTCACTGAGCTGCTTTGACTGGGCCGCAAATGCGGCGGCAAGTCTCTGCAAGTTGCTGCTGATGTCTGCATTTCCGGCATGAAGTTTGGCAACTTCCTGCTGTGTGACTTGGACCTCATGTCGAACAGCAGCCATCTCGGTCTTCTGTCCCTGGGTGGATGAGCGGAAGCCCTGAGACAGAGTGTCGACTTTGGCCTCAAGACGTTTCTCAACTTCGGCAAGCCGGGTGGCAAATCTCTCCTCAACATCACTGATGCGAGGCACTGCTGCTGCCGGATTAGCGCTCGTGGGATTGGTGACAGCGGATGCAGAGTGAACGAAAACCTGCGCACTTGACTGAGGGTTCCTACGCTTCTCACCTGGCTTGGGCACCTCTTCAATGAGGAGACGTGCTGGATGCGGTCACATGGTGGATCTTCAGAGGACCCCACCTCTACGGCATGCCTTGCAAGAACACGGAGACCAAAGATCTGAGCCGGCCCTGGGTTCTTGACAACAATGCCACTGGATGTGGAGTGCATCTGGGCCTTAGCTTTGATCTGATCTAGTGTATGGTCAGGGAGCCAAACAACGACCCAGTTGGGTTTCTGACCAACTTCATCAGGCAGGTCATCAAGAAAGATGAGCATGCTGCCAGAGTCTCGTCTGACTTGCGCACTGACTGATTCGTTCACCCTAATTTTGAAACTGTACTGATTGCTCGTGCGGCGATGATCCCAGTAGTCAATCAACTTCTTGCTGTCGGTCGCAAGCGTTGGGATTTTGGCTATGGCTGACCTAACCGGATGCGCCGAAAAGTCGCTCCATTCCTGGCTGGTGAAATGCACACGGTAGGCTGTGACCTTGAAGGCGCTACTTGATGGCGGCATGACCTTGCATGCATCTGGCGGAGTGAACCTGATCACCTTAGCGTCTCCAATCTGGACAAGCGTGCCAAGGAGACTGATATTGGCACCATCCTTGGTTTTGGCAGGAAGGCTGCAGGCGGTTGACTCAAAACCAGTGCTGATCTGCGAAGGCGACTCAAGCACAAAAAGGTCAAGGGGGTAGGTAGGCCGATAGTTTCTTGGCACACTGGAGAAAAGGCTGAGCTTGCCTGAGCGACACAATGCACACTCCTCTGGGGTCCGAAATCACATGCTGCAATGACAGGAAACCCAGCGGGGCACCTTGCTCGGTCACAAAAACATCGGCCTGAGGTGTGAGGTTATCAATCTCAAGACCTCGGAGTGCGTTGGTCTCACCCGATTGCGCAGAGGAGCAAGAACCTCCCTTTCCAACTGGTTCTTTGGACCAGGGATCGTTGTGCTGCAAGGGATCGATGTCACTTCCGGGCAAGGCGGGTGTGGCCTTGGACCGTTTGAACATCTTGGCCTCGTCAGTGGTGACTAGCCTGAATCCTGGTCCAGCAGCCTCACAAAGCTGGGGCCACTTCTGCTTGGCTGTGGCTTGCTTGAGGGCAACTTGTTGCTGAGAGGCACTTCTGAGCAAACCTGCTATTCGGTCACCGACTGCTTGGGCTGGGACACCTTTGGCAAGAAGAAGGTCCTGCAGTTCCCTCGAGAACTTTGCGGGAAGCCCAGGCGGGTTGTTGCAGGCGAAGCTGTGGCAGAACTTAGCGGCGGCGGTAATGCTTGATCGTACTTCCTCAAGGCTGAACAGGTGACCTTGCGCTATTTTGAGAACTGTTGGCAAACTTGGCCCACATTGCCCAGGCAGCTCCTGGATGTCACAGGCATGCTGAACGCTTAGCGGCAGACTAAACCGTTCTAGCTGAGAAGTGAATTCATTGGCATGGCCAGGTGGTCCAGCGTGCCAAATCTGACATGCACCTTGTGAGTCGAGCGCAGCCCAACACCAGTGATCACAAAGCAAAAGAGGCGTCCAGAAAATGCGGTTAATCCAAGAACCTTCGAACCCCCGGCGCACACACTTCTAGCTATCGATTCCTGAATGGACCAACAGGGCACGAATCGCGTTTGGTCCGAATCCCTCACAGGTGGATTGGGCCGGCATGGGTGGATCCCAGACTTGCACATCAACATGGCCGAGTCCAATGGCGCACTGATGGAAACTGGCGAGCTCACTCAGGTTTAGCATGTTGCGTGCATTGGCCGTACACAGACCAAACGACTGCAGGGGAAGCAGAACATCAGCTACTGAATCCTTGTGGGGATCAGGGTCCAAAGAATGATCCATGGCTATGTGTGCCTAATCGGCGGCGCCGGCCACTCCACAAGGAGGTTCAGCTAAACTCAGTGGGGACCTCCTGAGCCCGTGGCTGTCCATGACCATCCCTACCAGCCCCAAATTCAAATGAGTCACGATCCCCCAAACGGTCACATATCCCCACCCATTTCTGTTGACGTGCCCTTCACTTAATTACCCGGGTTTGGCCTGGCCCAAAAGGGTGTGTTGAAACCAGGGCACATATGGGTGGCTCGTTCTTTTTGTGGGAAACCAGTAGGAAACCCACAATTTTGGGTCCGATTGAAAAAAAGAAAGACAGACCCACATGATTCTGTCTTAAAATGAGATATGAAACCGGATTTCGGTGTTCCTCTTCGTTTCCCTTCCACCACCCCACCCCCTACTCCCAACCAAAAAAACAAACAAGCAAAGAAACAAAGAAAGAAAGAAAGAAAGAAAGAAAGAAAGAAAGAAAGAAAGAAAAGAAAAGAAAGAAAGAAACAAGGAAATAAAGCAAGAAAGCAAGCAAGAAAGCAAGAAAGCAAGAAAGCAAGAAACAAACAAACTAACAAACAAACAAACAAACAAACAAAGAAACAAACAAAAAAGCAAACAAACAAACAAACAAACAAACAAACAAACGAACAAAAAAACAAACAAACAAACAAACCAACCAAACAAACAAACTAAACAAACAAACTAAAAAACAAACTAAACAAACAAACTAAACAAACAAAAAAGCAAACAAACAAAAAAGCAAACAAAAAAACAAACAAACAAACAAAAAAACAAACAAACAAACAAACAAACAAAAAAAAGCAAACAAACAAACAAACAAACAAACAAAGCAAAGCAAAGCAAACAAACAAACAAACAAACAAACTAAGCAAACAAACTAAAAAAAAAACAAACTAAACAAACAAACTAAAAAGCAAACAAACAAACAAACAAACACTAAACAAACAAACAAACTAAACAAACAAACTAAACAACAAACTAAACAAACAAACTAAAAAGCAAACTAAACAAACAAACAAAAAAGCAATCAAACAAACAAACTAAACAAACGAACAAAAAAAACAAACAAAAAAGAAAACAAACAAAAAAGAAAACAAAAAACATACAAACAAACAAACAAAAAAGCAAACAAACAAACAAACAAACTAAACAAACAAACTATTAAAAAAAAAAAAAAAAAAAAAAAAAAAAAAAAAAAAAACAAGCACCGAGCCTCAAATAAACGACGTGTTGCGCCGCTCGACGCGGCTTGCGAGTGGATCGATGCCGCCTTGGGTTTCCGCATCTGCCGCGCCAGGAAGGCTGTGGCGTGGAGGCCCTGCTCCAGCCCGGCCACCGCCTCGGGGCGACAGGGAATTTGCCGAAGGCGGAGGTGGGGCCTCCTTGTGTGAAGTCGGTGCCCCGACTGAATGGCGGATTTCAAAGGGACACCAAACGTGTTTGTCTCTTTTTTTTGAGATGTTTTTTCTTTGCGAGGGGTTCCCCTAAAAGTGACATGCGCTTTGTTAAATTCCACACGAAACTCAAACGGTGGCCCCCTCCCTGTCATGGTCATGTGGAATTCCTTCACTTTATGGGGAACGCATGCCGGGATTCCTGTGATTTGGATCTTCCGGATTCATCCCAGTCAGCATGGGCTCGGTGCTTGAATGGCGCACCTCGCACCCAGACCTCCGCATGTCACGCTCTCGGGCGCTGACGACTTGAAATACCTGGCTGAGAGGCGCGCAACGAATGTCCCACACATCTGCCAGCTGTTCCGCTGCAAAAATCGAGCTGTGTGCTGAGTGATGAAACGCAAGAGTCTTTTTTGTAAAAAGAACGTCTCACGTCCCACGACTACAAACAGCTCGGCTCGGTGAAGTCCAAAGCATTGCCAGCCGGCCCTGCGGGAAGGGCGCACGTGAGGGAAGTCTGCCAGGAAGTGGTAATCCAAAGGCAGGCGGCAGTGGTCGAAGGCCGTCAGCCGGCTTGGAACCAACAGCTCCTGACAGACACAGACACTTCTGAATCGGTCAATTGCTGACCTGACTAACATCCACTAGACTCTAGACCTGTCACATGGATTTCCGCAGGAGGCACGTTGATGAAACGCCTTGGCTTTCCTGCCAAGCTCTTGGTTCTAGTTGCAACCAGCGGGGGGCCGTTTCACTGAATCACAAAGTCTCAGACAATAGGAGTAAGCTAGTCATCCATTCGCCCGAGATACTATGCTTTTAGCCATGGCTTTTCCTGAAAGGCACAATTTGGGTGTGTGAAAGGACAAACCCATTGGAGCAGCGCGCAACATCCATTCATGTTTGGTTCTACTTCCACTTTTTCTTCTAACAAGATATGATTATATAGGCCTTTGCGCAATCCAACATATCATTGTAGAGGCCATAGTGGAATCCCGATGTTTGTTTTGCGGAATCAATTCCCCGAAATGCATGGTGGGTTTCCGAATTCGTCTCCCAATTCGAACCCGCAAAAGCGAAGGTATACCAACTCACAACACGAACCTCCTGCTCAAATGGCAACCGGGTTCTGGGCGCTCGTGTACATGGCATTGGGGCCGGTTCAAGAGCCTCCCACCTCCGCATGCACCGGCGCCCAGGCACTGCCAGCCTCCAGCTTGCGCTGGAGTTGGGAAATGGTTCGCCCCATCCCAACTCATCCAGCGCAAAGATGTGGATTGAGGATTTGGGATTGAAACAGTTGGGATTGATTTGGGATTTGGATTTGTGTTGACCAACCACCAATCCCAACTGGTCGAGAAAAAAAAACGCCAACCGCGGATTTGATGGAACCACCGATATCCCCACAAGATCTCCGGAGCGCGAATGCGGCCAAAAGACCCCAGTGAACTGGCCAGAGGAACTGTTTGGCCCGTGAAGAAACCGAGCAGAAGTTTGCAGTACGAAACAGGCACAACCATAGGTGTCCTTTTAGGGGAAATAGATGGCCCTGGTAGATGATTAAACCACCAGGTAAACCGGGGCCATCTATTTTTCTAGCAAGACAACGAAAAAGGGCGCAACAAGTGAGAGGTTTGAGGCCATTCGATATTTCTCGTGTGAGGGTGGGTCTCAAAGGCACAAGCAGGTGATCTACCAAACTGTCCAATCCGCATGGTTCTTTTCGGGCTGCGGCAAATGTTTGATGTCTTGTTACTCATTGTTGGATCCTGTTGAATTGCAGTTCACTGAAGGCTCCCCCCAATTTGGGAAGCCAAAGCAAATCACCACCTGGAAGCCAGGGAGCGATGTATCAAAAGGATCTGCGAATGAAACCCATGCCATGCGGCTTTGTAGGTCACCCAAAGCACCACACTGAGCCGCAAGCCACACCCATTTCCGAAGCAGCGCAGCCTGAAGTCAAGGGCGATGCTCAGCCCCGCTTTCCCCACCCTTTCCCATCTCCGCGCGTAACGAGCGGCTGTGAGTGGGAGAAAGGGAAGGAATGGCTTTAACTCTTCGATAATAGAATTTGGAAATTACATTGTGACAAAAGGAAAGATAAAGATGAAGAGCGAAGCGATGCTTGTGCGAGAGACAAAGCATTGTTTCCCTCCATCGCACATCACTGTCTTATTTTTTGAATATTATGCTCATATGAATTCCTAATCTTTATCTTCCCGTTCTTCTAACCCCATTTCCTTTCCAGGCTTTTTCAATCTAATGGTTCCGGTTTATCATTCATTCAAGATCTTATTGTCTCCCTTGCAATAACTCTGTTATTCGTTCCTGAATCCATGCATCTCTTCTCTCAAAGCTCGTATCACCTGGGGGATGTTTCAGGTTTATATGAGACTCAGGAGTCCATAATGCTGCCGGCTGTTCAGGGCTCTTAACGGACCTTCTGTATGGCATGTACACACGGCAATCCACGAACTAGCACTATGCTGGCGCACGCACAGAACTGGTCCCTTGTGATGCAAGGCAGGGAACTCATTGAAAACAGTGGCCAATCAGGGACATGCAATGCCGTCACTGATTTCCGGGATGCTGTCTTCTCTTTGTGGCTGTTATTTATGGTTGTTCGTTTCCCGCAAGTTCCTAGCTCTGTTGGCAGCCATTCAAAGTCCAGTCCAAAGAGTTTTTATTAAAGAAAAAGTCGCATGCTCCCTTGCAGAAAGTCACATCAACCCCAAAAACACGAACCCCAAAAGGACGCCTCATGTTCAGAGTTAACGTCAACCCCGGCAGAAGTTAAACCCCGGAAGGTTGATTTTGAGATGGAGGTGCCCCCATCCTGACATTAATTGAGTCTAGGGGTTGATTCCTTTTCCATTCTTATCAACCATCGTTCTTTTCAACAACCAGCTGTTTATGCTGTTTCCCCTGGGGTTCTGATGGTTTTTCTGAAAAAAAAAAGATCCCTGGAAAGAATGAGGAAGTGTCCTCTAGATTGAGGGGACCACCCCGAGCTCCAAACCTATTCAAGGGAAGCTGATGATAGGAGGGAAGCTTTCAAATGGGTTCCGACCCTCAAGACTTCTGGGTTTTCCACTTGATCCCAGAAAGGGTACTTGGATGTTCGGCCAGGTCAGTAAGAGGTTACCCCACTTGGGTTCTAACCCACTAATAACAGGGTTAACCCCACTGAACAAAAACTTACAAGTGAGCTATAGCCTAGGTTACCAACGTACCAAATTGGCCGAACACCCAAGTACCCCCAAAAAAAGACGCCGACGTTCATTTGCCCCGTGTCACTTCCAGCCTAGGAATCGGCCCTGGTTCCAGGAGGCAAAGCCTCGCCGGTCCGTCGCCTGGAAAACCAAAGGGGGGACCGAGCCTCAAAAACTACCACACCCAATTCTTGGTTGCTGTTGACCCCCCTGCAAAAGTTTAACTTGTTTGGGGTTTAGTGGAAAACGCCTTGATTTCAACCAATAAGTTAAAGTCTAAAGATCCGTTGCCCAACTGCAGTCAAGCAATTGGCGGTTTGGGTGGTGAACGGGGAGGAAACTGAAACCTTTCCTACCCTCATGTGATTTTACTCAGCCAGCTGGTTGATTTGGGCCCGCTGGTTTTGGATTGCCCCAAAAATTATTCTGGAAAATTGAGAGACGCCTTAACCACCAAACCACTCTCCAAACCACCAAGGTGGTAACTGAAGTTAGCTTCCTCGCCCACAAAAACACGAAAGGAGTCTGACACTGACTGTCGGCATAACTGGAGAACACCCGACTTCTCTGTTTCTATGGTTTTTAACCAAGGTTTATTCTCCATAGGCCAACGCCGCCCAATTCAGACCAATTCTCTTCTTGTCGCGCTGGCTTCCCTGGGATGCGTTGGATCACTCTCAGCGGCACGCCGGGAACGCACCACCGGAGATTTGCAATTGTTTTGCAACTCACGGATTCTGAGCACGTGTGGCGTGTGCTTCGGCGGCTCAGCCACGCATCACCTGCAAGCCGCTGCAAGTCGACCGATAGCTTCGGTTGCGACACGTGGCTTTCTCTGTGATCAATGACACGCCAAAGAAGGAAGGCTCCATTCGAGCAGGCAGCTTACTAGAATTTGCAAACCAGAAATAACTCAGATGCCCCCATGGGAAAAAAGGGCATCCGTTTTCTTTTTGCTTGGTTGACTTTCAAGGGGACCCCTTCCCAAAAAAAGATGAAAACAGGGCCCCGCTGGGCCACTGGGAGAAGGAAGCCGGTGGACCTTGGCTCCTTCTGCGCCCAAGGCTCGCAAAAGCCGTGGGTGAAAATCCAAATCGGTTGGCCCCCCAGTGAACATCCGATTCAATCCAGCCACCAAAATAGGAAGCCTAAGATGGGTGGTGAGTTCACCTACCCCGAAATGGGATCCTACTGGTTTTGACCCACATGTCGCTGTGGGTCAACACTAACCCCAAAATGGGTTGCCCTGACGCATAACCAAGGACTCAAGACCCGGTCCCATACCTGTGTGCCGATCTGTGCCGATCTATGGCTAATTCCAGAGGCCCACTACTGGCAGCTAGCCTCCCTGCCTTGAGCTTTGCTGCAAGGAATGCAAAACGCCAACCTCGGCCCTTCATAACCGTGGTAACGAGATGGAAGGTCAAAACCATTTAATTCTGGGGTTGATTCCAACCATTCTTTTCAGCCATCGTTCTTTTCAAAAATCAGCAATTTCCCCAGGGTTTTTTGTGGCTTTCTAGCAAGAAGGAAAGTTACCCCTAGATTTATCGGATTGTTGGTCACCATAGGAGCCTCCATAAAGGATTCGACAACGCCTCACACTGTCAGACATAGATTGAACGCTCGCGATGAAACAATTCCCCCCCGACCCATCCAGCTCCGCCTGGAAGCTCAACCACAGCAGCGGCAACAGCAAAGACCTGTGCCACTGGTGTCCGCCACTCCTTGCTTTGCCACCAAGTATAGCTGGGTTTGTCTCAAAATCAGGGAACCCCCAAAATTGGTTCCTCTTGGTTCCCCTTTAAACAATCCCTCAACAGGGTGTCAACAAGAGACAGGCCCATGTGTGTGGTCATCACGAGTTTGCTCGCTCAAGTGTGCTCGTGAGTACGAGTTTGCTCGCGCAAGTGTGCTCGTGCGAGTTTGTTCGCGCAAGTCTGCTCGCGCAAGTTTGCGCGCGCAATTTGCTGCGCGTGTTCTCTCGCGAATCTTACTCTGCATGTGTTCTCGTGCAACTTGCTCTGCGTGCTCTGTCCTGCAGCTTGCTCTCGTGCAAGCCTACGCTTGCAAGCGTTCAAGCGTGCTCGCGCAAGTTCGTGCAAGTGAGCTCCGGCAAGTGCGCTCGTGGAAGCGTTCGTGCTCCTCTGCGGTTTGGCTGGAAGAACCTTTCGGAATGCTTTTAAAACAAAAGGGTGGCTCGTCTTTGTTTGAGGCTCAGTACCCCTGCTGTTTGTTGTGTTAAGGGGAAACCAAAGGAAAAACAAAGCCATTTTGGGGGGTACCCTAAGAAAAGACACCCATGCGACAATGATGCGTCCTGGGGAATATTCCCCAAATGATTGGTGGACATCACGAGCCGCTTTCGGCTTGAGTTGCTTCGGACATAATGCTGCAAGGATGGCGTATTCCGCAGGAGTATAAGGTGTCAGCGATAGGTTGGCTGTGAGATGCACTTGGACGTCCAGAAGTCCCGAGATCGACATCAAATTCGCCGAAATATGTTGCAGGAGATCAGGAGCATGGCATCAGCGTGCCTTTTGATTTTCAACTATCTAATAGTTGCGGACTGACCTGCCACGCAAAAATGAAATAATTGACACCATGAAAACGGCGCAATGGAACCACCCCTCTTCTTGCAGGTTGATCATCAATCCATTCATAGGGAGTTTAGAAAACCCATTTGAGAAAACCGACACTCAGGAAGTTATGACATGGACGATCAAGAGCTGCCGGCACGGACAAAGAAAAAGAGCTGGCAGTGTGACTTTGGAGCCGCAGAGTGTCTGAATTTCTCTTCGCATCCCAAATGCGCTGGGCCCACCCGTCTCCAGAGCGGGGCCTTGCCTCCTGAGAGCATCACTCTTGGCGGTGGTGGTGGTGGTGGTCGTCGTCGTCGTTGTGGTTGTAGTTGTGGTAGTCACCTTGGCACGCGGGGACCCTCGGGACCCGCTTCTCCAATCATGCAAACCTTCCGGTGCATGGCTGGAGATAAGAGTCCAATCCTATGTGGAGAACCTTGCGGATCCGGGGAAAAGCCAAGTCCCCACCCCCCCAGGAAGGGTTCATGTGCACTCCGTGGCTTCCACAGTGGGGATGTATCACTGAAGTGGGTAATCAGAATCACCTGCACCAAAGCTGTGCGGTCCATGCCAAAAGCTGCTAAAAAGTACTTTGGACATAAATTGTTGTACCCGTATGTGAAATTTTTGGTTGAATTGTGTTCGGCGGCGTGACAGAACACGCACTGCGTGTTCACTAAAACAACAAACAGGTTTGCTAGCTCAGGCTCACGCTGCAGTCGGGTTTAGGACCCCCTTGCCAGGTGCGCCAAATGAAAGGTCAGGTTGCGTCAATCTGCCGATGTGAAGCGAAGCTGAACGCACATGCAGGTCGCTTCGAAGCCCCACACCCTACAAGAGAGCACCAAAACCCAGAAAACCAGCTGCAAGCGCTTAGTCTTTCAGGTCTTTCAATCCTTGACGTTCGGGTCGACCACACTCGCGGTCGCTTATGATTCTCATTTAAGCTATCACGACCCTGTGCGAGCTTTGGAAGGTGTACCATCAAACACTTCCCTCTCAGCGTCGCATGTTTTGTCCAGAGCTGTGCGTAGCTGACTAATTCACCTGACTAGCCAGCTAGCCAATACGCAGTAACGAGCAACTAGCTCCTCCACGTTCTAAGCAACCATCTAGTGGCCGATTAAGTATCTGACGAACTGGCTCACTAACCAAGCAAACAAAAAAATCACCAACAGGCCAAGCGGCTACTGAGCTAAGCACCTGACCAATAGAACACAAGCTACCAAGCTAGCTCCTTGGCGAACGAACTAGCTAGCTGACTAGCTATCTGACTAGCCAGTTGACTAGACAGCTGACTCGCAAACTAGCTGACTAGCTGCTTGGCAAATGTTTGTTTGCTCCTTTCCGGCATACAACATACGGGCCAACACATACCCCCACACCTTTAAATGATTCACTCAACGTCTGCCCAGCTATACTGCCACAACACAATTAGATCATTCTGGTCAACTATTAAAAAGAACGATTCTTGCCAAGTTCGTGTTAGAATGGCGCCCCTGCATAAATCTGTGCTCGAGGTGACCAGCACAAACAAACTCAAAACACTGCAACTGCACATGTGGAGGGCAGGTTTTGGAGGTACTTCTTGTTCTTTGAAAGCTTTGCTGCAACTGCGGCCCTCCCCCGCGTTTCCAGGCTGTGTGCGCGTGCCCGCGTGGGTGTGCACGCGCCTGTGTGTGTGTGTGTGTCTCTGTGTGTGTGTGTGTGTGTCTGTGTGTGTGTCTGTGTGTGTGTGTCTGTGTGTGTGTGTGTGTGTCTGTGTGTGTGTGTCTGTGTGTGTGTCTGTGTGTGTGTGTGTCTGTGTGTGTGTCTGCGTGTGTGTGTCTGTGTGGGTGTCTGTGTGGGTGTCTGTGTGGGTGTCTGTGTGTGTGTGTGTGTGTCTGTGTGTGTGGGTGTGTCTGTGTGTGTGTGTGTGTCTGTGTGTGTGTGTGTGTCTGTGTGTGTGTGTGTCTGTGTGTGTGTGTGTCTGTGTGTGAGTGTGTCTGTGTGTGTGTGTGTCTGTGTGTGTGTGTCTGTGTGTGTGTCTGTGTGTGTGTGTCTGTGTGTGTGTGTCTGTGTGTGTGTCTGTGTGTGTGTGTGTGTGTGTCTGTGTGTGTGTGTGTCTGTGTGTGTGTGTCTGTGTGTCTGTGTGTGTCTGTGTGTGTGTGTGTGTCTGTGTCTGTGTCTGTGTCTGTGTCTGTGTCTGTGTCTGTGTCTGTGTCTGTGTCTGTGTCTGTGTCTGTGTCTGTGTCTGTGTCTGTGTCTGTGTCTGTGTCTGTGTGTGTCTGTGTCTGTGTCTGCACAGACCCCAACAATAAAAACAGTGTAGACCCCAATAGCAAAAAAACAAATGCGGAGACGCTCTTTGGTTTTGGGGAGCTTTTGATTTGAGGTGGAGAGTCAGCCGGCTCGAAAGTCGCAACTTTGTAGTACGAGTGTAGAAAAGGAAACGTACTCCCGGGTCCCCCTGATAGGGCTGGATTTGAGTATCGGCAGCAAAATATCGGCTTTAGAATTGGTTTAGTATTGGCCTATTCTAAAAGTAGTATTCTCGGATTTGGGATCTTCGAAAACAAT